TCAAAGACATTTAAATTTTCAATTCAATAATTAATCAATTTTCCCACTTGCATTTATGCAACATATTGAATAAATTAATTAGAATTAATGCATTGAGTTATTTATTCATTACATCTCACTTTATTGATTATCTTTTGCTTCCTTTTTGAACTTTATTCAATCGAGTAAATAAAATGAAAGTTCTTGACTGAATGAAAGATCAAAATGGAATCAATAAAAGAACTTTACTCATGAATGACATTAAATGTAAATAAAGTATTGAATATGTAAGTCTATATGAGCATTTATTCGACAGATTGACTTGCTGAGAAGATTATTATGGAATGCTTTTAACGTTTAATATGGGAAAATATTCGATGTACTTTTCATGATTTTCTGAAAAGCTTTGAGAAGATATTCAATTGAAATATGAATAGGCAGAGTGTAAAGGCTTATGGTTGGATATGACATCGATGCTTTTGAAATGTCAATTTTTTTATTCATTGGAATTTTTTTGAAAAGGATACACATTTTTCTTGAAATTTACGTAGCATTGTGGGATTTGAGTTGTCATTTTTGCATTAAAATTACGCGAATATGGGCTGAAAATGTGGTATTTCCTGGGGATTAAGCTTTTTCGACCTGATGGTTTCAGTTTTGGACACAACCAGGCTGTGTCGTAGCAAGAATTATGTGGACAGTTAGGAAACTTTTGATTGTGTTTATAAAATTACTCGAGATCAAAATAAACACTCTGGGATTGCGACGAGTAGCATTAGACACCGACTTCTTGTGTCCCAAGAAGATAAGAATGATTTTTAAGATTTTCAATAGTTTAAGTAAATTCTGTCCTTAAATCATTGCCAGGAACTTTATAAACATCCCTCATATTCTTTAAACTCCCACAACCTTCCTTATAACATCAAATATTTATTTTCTAATTTTTAGACATCCTTAATTACCAAATAAATGTCATCATTTCTGACCTTTGCAAAAGTATTACTGTAGGACATAAAGAACATTTAGTATATTCGTGTAGGAAGCCTTTCTTTATGTCACATTACTCACAGAAACAGATCCTACATATTAATCTCCTCAAAACTGTATTATTATTTATGGAATATAATGGAGATTGGAACTGCTTGGGAAATGAAGTGGTTTTCAAAATGATAAAAAGTAAACCTCAAGATGAACAAAGTTTTAATAATATTTAAACTTTATAAAGGGTTGAAATCAGAGTTCAATTAAAACACTTCAGGTAAAGTCAAGTGATTTAAATTGTTTATTTTTATCTTAATTGGATTTAAGATTGCTGCATGTTAATGGATTTATTTCTCAAGAAAAAGATTGAAGGTTGATTTTCAATTATCTTCTGTGTTTATCTTCTCCGATCGGCTTTAACTTAATTATTCTTGTGATTTATCGAGAACATGAAATGTAATCATGAGTCACATTAGGGATCGTTCACTTATGACGTCCGAAAATAACGGTCGTTTTTTAAAAAAGAACAATTGATTTCCAAGAATTTTGATTGTTCTTTGTTTGCTGACCCCACTCCCCCCCTCCCCCTTGACGTCATAAGTGAACGGCCCCTTACTGGAATTTTGTGTGAGTTCACAGAAAAGTCTGAAAATTGTAAAAAAATCCAATGTTGGTTCATTGTTTGAAACTTTTACTTTACTTTCGTTCTTGAGACTTTAAATACTCCAATTATGCTTTCTCGAAATCCCGGTCCCGACAAATTTTCGGGATCGGGATCGGGATTGAAATTTTTCGGGATTTCCCGGGAAATCCCGGGAATCCCGAATATGTAAAAAAATTTAAAAAACAGCATTTTTCTGCTTTTTTTCTCAAAAAAAATTATATATTTTTTTGCTACTTATACGGTCATTTATTCCTTAATTAATTAGTTATACTTTATGTGTTACAAGGTAGATGTTTTGATCCATGTTTCCTTTGAAAAATGTGAACATAAACAAAAATAGAAAATAAATGTTGATAAAGATGTAAGTTAAAAGGTTATAGAAAACGGTGTGAATATAATAATAAAAATTAAGCATTAATGAAAAAACTTTTAACAAATGCAATTGCATTTAGATTCTTGTCAAGTAAACGTTTTCTTTGTTTTGTAAGAATGTTGTTACCAGAGATCGAAGCCGATTTTTTCGGCTTAACTCAATTTTTGATTATTTTGATAGAAAAAAGCCATTTAACACCCATTTTAAGTATTTAAATTGAACTTTACATACTTTACTATGATTCTGTGAAATATTTTTTCAGCATGTAGCTATAGTAAGCTCTGAATTTCAATTTTGCCGATTTTAAGCCGATCGGCTTAAATTTCGGCTTAACATTCTTTAACTTGAAATTCTGAGCTCACTATAGCTACATGCTGAAAAAATATTTCACAGAATCATAGTAAAGCATGTAAAGTTCAATTTAAATACTTAAAATGGGTGTTAAATGGCTTTTTTCTATCAAAAAAATCAAAAATTGAGTTAAGCTGAAAAAATCGGCTTCGATCTCTGGTTGTTACTAATAGAGAAATTTCGTTCGCTTTGAGTTGAGGTCGGCTGCATTGTTATCAATTCATCGTAAAGTTGATCTAATAAAACGGTTCTATTCTTATTTTTGTCATACCAATTAAACTCTCTTTTCAAGTTATTTGGTTCTGTTGCTGCTGCATCTGTTCTTAATGATGTATATTCAGATATGCTTAGTTTCAGTCTATCTCGAATAGAAATGTTTGACGGTTGGATTTGATTTGCACTGGATGTTGAAGCTTCCATAGCTCCATTTGTAGAGTTTTTGACAAAATACTTCTTCAATAAGTCAATGCCAAGTTTATGTATTGCAGCTTTTGTTGACGATTTAAAATGCTTCTCTAAAGAAATATATTGAGGATTATTCAGGTAAAGTATTAAGTCAATTAATGTTCCATTTCTTCGTGCACCTATGCGAGCGCAATTCATATCGTAAACCTTTTGAGACAATAATGTTCCTTGTAGCAACAATTCGTCTAGCAAAAATTTAATTGTTCCTTCAGCAATTAATAAATCGTTTGATTTACGCAATAATTCTTCTGTCGCGTATTTAGCAGGTTCTAAAACATCAATAATTTCCTAAACTAAAAAACCGGGATTTTCAATCCCGATCCCGATAAATTTCGGGATCCCGGGATTGATCGGGATCGGTAAATCCCGGGAAATCCCGATCCCGATCCCGATAGCGAGAAAGCATAACTCCAATTAGTAAATGACAAGATACAAAATCAAGACTTACATTCAAATTATACAACGAAATGTTGACCTTAATTCCATAAATTTCTTCACAATTTATTTAAAAAAATTTTTTTCAACAAGAAAAGACACAGCCTCGAATAATTCAATTGAATAATAATCGGAATTAAATTGTCATTAAATGAAATGGGCTTAAAATTGTTCACAAGAAATATTTTTAAAACAATAAGAGAAATTAAAAGAATGTGAAAGAGTGCAATTATATAATATCATGAGAAGTTCTCGTAAAATTTTACATCTCGCAATTCCAGTGCCAAAATAAATGTGCGAATTTTTTTTAATATTACATAATTGTGAATTTCAAGATTAAAAAGTGAATTTTTTTTATTAAAATGAATTGAATTTTAAATTTACGCTTAAGGATTTTTGTCCTCCTTTCACTTTTATTTTTGAGTAAGTAAGTTCATGTTCTGAATTTTATTGATACAATTTAAATGCCCGATTTGCCCTTGACTGTTACAACGAGAGATTGAAAATTTCTCAGAAATTCTGTTTGAAATATTAAAATGCTTTAGGGGATTTAAGAACCACAGCAGCTTGAGCTTATCAAATCAGTCACTATAGACATAAGCAGTGTTGTTAAACAAGATGTCTAAGGCATAGGCTATCACGGGATGACTGATTCGAAGTTGATTGGACTTATTGATCTAAACTGAATTCTTTTCGACTATGCACGACTGCCATGGACATGACAGGAGTCCTATTTGGTCAGTCATGATGAGCTTACAATCATAGACTGTAGATATTTATAACAATCCTAATCTAGATTTATTTGGGTACTTGGGTCTCGGCATTATCTAAGTATCTGGGTTTCTAGGTCATAATCTCACTAATTTGTCTATGCCAAGTGATAGCAGTTGACAAGTCTAAGTCAGATAAACTACAGAATACAGCCAGTTTACAACACTGTCCACATCAAAATGACATCTCGTTTAAAACAACAATTTTCCCTTCGTTCACTCAAAGTAATTTGTATTCTAGATTGGAAATCTGTGCATGTACTGTAACTCTGTTTCAGACTACATAAAATTCTTTAACATATTTTTTTCTACGTCATTTTATTTGCCACTCGCTGTCAACCGAAACATTTTCAAGCATAATCTCTCACTTTTTATTCTCAAATCCACTCTACTCTAAGTGATTAAATTCGTATGAATTTTAAGCTGGTTGTTAATCTCACACTCACTCCATAAATTTGTTCTATGCGCATGGTTTTTGCAGACTACCGCCATTTCGTTTCGGACTTCTTCGAAATTAATTTCGATTTCTTCGACATTAGAGCCGAAAATTCAAATTTCAAAAAACAGTTGCATTATGTAAACAATAAATTATTTTAATTAATACCAATTCTGCACGAATCCCAAAGTTCTTCATAAATTATTAATTTTATATTTTTTTTATCCATTCTCAACTTTATTAAGAATAAAATTTGAGCAAAATGAGTAAGTGCATGGTAAAATCTGGTTTAACCGTCAAAAATTTTTGAATATTATAACGGCCATAAAAAATTTGAATTTTTTTGAATGTAAATTTAACGGATGTTATATGAAATGACGGTAGTCTGGGTTTTTGTACCTCATTTACATGAATGTATACAAATTAATTGCGAATTGCATTTGCTTGCTGTCATATCCATGCTTGAAATGGAGCTCAATGTCACAAATTTGCAATGCAAAAATATTCTTTTGATTAACAAAAAAAAAACTTTAATTTTCTTTACAGTTCACGACGAACCACGAGAAATTCAATTCTGGGTATCAAATGTGAATAGTTCTAGCTTCGTTACACTTGCTGTACGTGGATATTCACTTTATCGTCTCGGATATCCATTCCAAATGAAGAAATGGCATCATACGTGTACATCATGGAATGGAAAGACTGGCGAATGGCAATTATGGGTCAAGAGCGATCGTGTTGGTCGAGGATTTTACAATCGCGTAAGTGATTTATTTTAATCCAAATGTTTGACAGAGCTTTTAAATGTTTAAAGTCATTTTTTATCGAGTAATTCAATGGGGGTCGTTCGTCTATCCAAAAAATTGTGCCCACCTATGTTTAAACCATGGCTTTTGATTTAAAATGTCACACAACGATAGATACCCTCCTCCTTCTTTCCAAAAGTTAAACATCATTCATGGACGAACCCCCAAAACCTGAATAATAGTTTTTTTTGCATCGCACATTTTCAAATGCTCGGCAATGAAACATAATAGTGAAATTTATTACAAAGTCACTACGGAAATACAAGACACAGCTTGAAGCTTGTTTTCCTCTCAATGCTATTTATAAATTATGCAAAAAAAAACATTACATCACAGACTAGTTTGACAAGAGAGTCGCTTTCCTTAATTAATTGATGACAATTGAAAGCGAAGAAATTTGTTACGTACAAAATTAAAATTTACAGTAACATGGCATGGAACAAAATGAAAACTTTGTTGCCACAAACTCAAATAATTCTCATTTCCACAAACAGCTCGTCTCCCACGAGATTGAAGCCGGTGGTAAGGCATTCACCGGTGGAAAATCAACAACAGGAAAAATTTGCGAAGGACTTCACATGGAAATAACATCATTACAACTCTATTCGGTTGCCTTAAGTGCTGGAAAAGCTCATCGTGATCATAAACATCATCATGTCCATAAATTCGACCACGATGGTGAAATTTCAACAACAACAGCATTACCAAGACCGGCAGTAAGTTTTTCATTTTCATTACTTTTGATTAAACTTCCATTTTCACACCTCTCATTCCGGTTTAGGTTGTAGCAAATCAAGCAATAAATCCATTATTAGCAAATGGACAATTTCCATCACGCGTTAAAATCAATTTTGCTGGTGGTCAATCACCTGTATCAACACCAGCACCCGCAACATTAAATACACATTTCAATAGAGGTCAATACAACATTGGTGCACGTAACTTACAACATCAATTAATTAATAATAATGCAATTCATCATTACCAAAGTCAAAGTCAATTTAGTCAACAACCGACACCTTTGCCTCAACAAGTCAATTTCCCATCATCGCCATCAAGTTCAAGTATACAATTTCCACAAAATGATGGTTTACAATTCACATCCTCATACACAGGCTTTGGAAGTCATCCAGCTAATGTTGAAATTATTGATGAGTCACAATTGCCAACATTAAGGTTTAAGCGTTCAAGTGATAAAAAAGTTGTTGCTGAGACGAAGGAGCAGGAGAAGAAAAAACGTGACTTGATCACATTAACAGAAGTCGATAATCAATTTTTCGATACTGATTGGTATGATGGATTGGCCCAATTTGGCGGTAGCGATTTTAAGCAGCATTTGAAGCAACATGACAATCTTGAAGACGAAATTAAAGAACATGATCGTGAGCCAGCAGAAGGAGAAGTCGAGGCTGTTCGTTCATATTGTAATTCATGTCTCATAGAGCCATTCGAAAGTGCACTCGTGTTACCATGGAAGAGTGCGCAACCATCCAGTAAGGTGCTAAGAGCGAAAGCATCTAAAGTTTGTGGAGATTTTTAAGTAGCTTAAGTGAGCACAATGATGCATTTTTAATTTTTAGTTCGCATAACCTTGACTTTCATTTCTTATTAATCTCTTCGCCTTTTTTATTTAATTTTCATGAATTATTCATCGCCTCATCCCATAGAATTAAATTCTCATTTCGAATGGGAAAAAAATTATATTGAGATTTTTTAAAATTAAATTTTTTTGTTAATTGTTTCGTGTAAATTCAGCTAGGCATCTACGTTTACAATAATGCTCAGTTTAAATTTTATGAAGTGAATCATTGCCAATAATTATTAACTAATGTGGCATAAAAAAATCAATCGAGAGAAAATGTTACGGAGATATTCAATTGGGAGGAAAAAGTCTTTTACTTTTTGAGTCACGTAAAGATAGATTTTTTTTTGTACAGTTACATTTGATTTTATTGCTTAGATTGACTAAGTTTTATGAGATTTGATGTTTCAAGGTAGTCGAAAATCTAATCAGTAGACTGGTTTTTAATGAAATTGGATTAGATTTGGGACTTCATGAAGAATTTGGAATTAAATTTCAAAAAAATCAAGAATTTCAAAAAATTAAAGAATTTCAAACATTCAGGAATTTCAAAAAATTCAAGGAGTTTAAAAAAATTCAAGAATTTCAAAAAATTCAAGAATTTCAAAAACTTCAAGAATTTCAAAAAATTTAAGAATTTCAAACATTCAGGAATTTCAAAAAATTTAAGAATTTCAAACATTCAGGAATTTCAAAAAATTCAAGAAGTTAAAAAAAAATTCAAGAATTTCAAAAGATTTAAGAATTTCAAAAAATTCAAGAATTTCATTTAAAAATCATAAAATTTCAATATTTCAAAAAAATTAAAATTTCAAAAAAATAAATTGATCAAAAAATTTAAATTTTAAAAAATTGAAATGTTCAAAAAATTGAAAAATTAGAAAAAAATTAAAATTTTAATTTAAAAAAATGAAAACTTCTAAGATTCAAAAATATTAAAATTCGCACTTTTTAAAACTCATTTCCTCTCAATAAATATCAACGTGACATTCTCAAAATTACCATCAAACCTTGCCAGTACATAAAGTCCCCCAATTCTTCAACCATCGACTTTAAAGGAACAAAAATAATAAAAAAAAAAAAATTATCGGAAATACAAAAAAGAAGAAAAAAAATTCTTTTTGTATTTTTCAGGGAAGAAATTTAATATTTTGTGTTTATCTCTTCGCATATCCTTTCCTATAAAAATATACTATATGATAAAACCTTTATGCCATTTTTTTTGTATAAATAAACCATAAACGCAAATAAATATTTTTTATAAAATAAAAAAAAATCACTCACCTTGCTTTTGTGAATATGTTGATGTTGATATTCGGAATCAAATTCTGGTTCACTGAAGTAGCTCTACAGAAATTGAGAAAGTGAGAGATGGAAAAATGTCAATTCTTTGATTACATTTCAGAAGTTATGTTTTTTTATGCGAAACACAACAAAAGTTTAAAGGTTGTTGATGTAATTTTGTGGATTTTCCAGTTAAAGAATGTTTAGCAAAAGTTTCCAAACAGTTCATCATAAATGCCAAAGTACTGAGGGGATATTTGATACGGAGGTAATGTTACTTCTTCTTAAGTCTTATTTCAAAAGTTTTTGGATATAAAATTGAGCAATGCCTACACCTTAAATAATATTGGAGTTTTAATCTTAACCTTGCGTGTTTTCTTACGAGAAGATTTGGTGAGCTTTTGGAGTAGATTTTGAAAATTATAAACTTTGTAGCTTTTTTTGGTCATGCTTGATGTCAGGGACTTTGTTTTTGCTCTCAAACCTACCGTAGGATATTGCTACGGATTATAACTAGACTCTTATCAATGTACAATTGAATAGTACTTAAAAACCACCATTTAGACCTCTAAACGATTTTAAGCCTAGCTTTAAAGCTTGAATTCAAATCATAGAAAGCATGAACATCCATTATCGACATCCCTTTCCTTAAAACCATGACCTTATTTCAAATAATTCCTTAATTCCAACAATGACTATAAGATAACCCACCTGATCATGATCCCATGTGCCAACTTGTGGCACAGGCTGCGGTAGAGGAATTCCTGGTCCACCTGGCAAAGCTTGCGGTGCTGCAACTTCGTTTGATTCAAATAAACGAAGCACAGAACGATCTCGAATCTCGCGCAGATGAGATCTGAAAAATTCATATGAAAAGAGATGTGTTTGTGTGTAAGAAGCATGTAGAGATAAATATGAATAATAGAGACGTATATGACATTAAATATGATTAAATTATTCATGAAGCTATACTACAGAAGACGTTCCAGTGGGTAATGCAACATTGTCTTCTGCATAATAATGTCTTAGTCAATAAATCTATAGTACAAAGACGTACTCACCTTACATCCTCTAATTCATAAAACATATCTTTACTGGAATCATGAATATAAATTTTTACATTGGGACCCTCGAGATATGCCATTGATAGTTGACGTGGAAATGATCTAACAAATAATGCACGAACTGTATCAATGGAAGTTATTTCATTTGGCAGAAGTGCCCTCTTTGTTTCAGATCGATATTGCAAGAATACCAAACCTTTAAAGCAAAAGACAAGAAAATAATTGGAGAGTGTAAAGCATATTGAAATATGAGAACTTAAACCTGATATACCTAGAGGACGTTCTAGAGTTTTTGATGGTGTTCGTACAACCGGAAGCGATGACCGTGATTTTCCACCCCGTCTAAATCCCGTACTTGCCGTTTCAACTTCAGACATAATACCAGGATCATCATCAAACAATGGCCCTTGATGTTGTGGCGTATATGCTCTTATTGGCATTCCACCCTATTTTTTTTTGTAATTTATTGTTTATTGTATGTTTGGGTGGGTGTATGAACATATCGAATGGATCAAGTTTCACGATGTCGAAGGAAAATAAACAGAAAAAAAGAGAGAAGAAAAAATGTCAAAGGGATTAAAGACATTGCTTATGGCATAAAATTTATGTTGTTTTTTTATCTTCTTTTTTTTTACGTATGCAAAATTTATTTGAGAGATGAAAATTGTCTTGGAGATTATGATTGAATTTAATTCACATTCCAATCGTATGTAAAAATGTTCGATAATTTATGGGAGATAAAATGATTACGTATGTTACCCTTGGAGTCGTTTTGTAAGATTTTTCGATCTGATAATTCAAATGTAGATGGAAAGATTGCTAGAATTGCTGTAGATGTAAGCTGTGAGTACGACAAATATTATTGTAGGTGGATGGAATGTTCAAGGTATCATTAGCTATAAATGTGCATTTTATAGGAATTTTTTAGAGCTAGTTGCTTCGTACTTTGTTGCAGTTACATGATCTACGATGAATTATTTTTATTCCTAGTGTCATTTTTTCTTAGTTTTAATGTAGAATTTATTTAAATTTAATTATACTTTAAAGTGTGTTTATGCGCTTTTTAGCATTCATGGTATCAGACTCAGCAGGAGCGTAGCCAGGAATTTGAAGAGTGGGGACAAAAAAAATATATGGAAAATTCAGAGAGAAGGGGGGATTTTTATGATTTTTACAGAAAACTCCTAGCAAAATGAAGAAATTTCTGTTAACGTCGGGAGATATATCCCCCAAATCCCCCTTTGGTTATGCGCCTGACACTCAGGATAATACATCCCATTAAACAGTAAGTTTTAATTTACAATTTATAGTAATTCAAAGGTAGAGTGCCTCGAGTAGCCCAAGAAAGCGACATAAACCTTTTACAATTGAGTGACACATCATGAAAGTTGAATAAGAACAATTAATAATCCAATATCATAACTAAGAATGAGTCGTTCACTTTAGAGCTGGATAGAGGCTTCAACCACATCACTTCAACATTATCATAGCCAAAAACACATTTCAATCTCCATTCTGCATTAAAATCACAATTTTATATTCTCATTTGATGAATAACAGAAGCGATTATAAAATTATCTTCGAAAAATCTTACAAACATTACTCCAAGGGAATGAATATGACAAACCAAGGATAATCAAATCATAAAAGTTGTTTGCTGATTACTTTTTATTACATATTGCATAAACACATGTGTATGAGAAAATAAAAATCAATAAATTATTAGTAATCGGAATGCCTATTAGATCTGTATTAATACCTACAATAAATAAAATAAAATAAAATTAAAAAGAAAAAAAATGTTCCACAAAAAATACTAAAAAGAATTGGTTAGTAAAAAATTATTAGCAAATCACACATACAAAGTAGAGAAATGTAGAGCAGTAGGAGGACAGAGAAAGAGAGATTCAATTTAGTAGATCGAAAATACTTTTTAAAACCCTTTCTAGAGCACAAATAATATATTTTTTTGGATTATGTAAATATTTAATTAAAACCAAAATTTATGAATCAAAAACACAATTTTTTATGCATTGGAAATTAATTTAATTTCGACTCTTTTGCATGCGATTGGATATTTGAAATAACTTAATGTTAGTGGTCTGGGTTGAAGAAGACTAAATGGGATTGAATATTTGAATGCTGGTTAAAAATAAACGGCATGTGACTTTAATTAAGCCGTTAGAAATGAGGCTTGTGTAAGGTTATTTGTAAAATTCATTATTATATTTTACTGGATATCCATTTGAACAGCTGACAATTTAGGAATAACGTCATATTCAATCAATGGACTCAATCAATTATTGGCTTCTTCTTAATTCTATCTTAAAACTAAAATGCATTGTCATGCATAGCTAACCATGTCAATCGATTAATTTTAAAGAACACAGGCAGTTCCTTATCAAATTTATCCTTCATCCGTGATAGTTTTTGACTTGTCCTTCATTTCTTTTGTCTGTAGCCAGTCGATTGTAGTTTTTACATAGAATTGACTGAACTGAGAGACATATCTATCAAAAAAATCACCACAGCCTCAAACAGACATCCCAAACTTGATAAGTTTCTCGAGTTTTTTGAACTATCTCATGATGCTGTCCTATAAATTAAGTTTTTTGACAGTCTGCATTAAAAATTCCATCGGCAGCAAAACTTTTTCCATTTTTCAACATCTCAAAAGACAATTAAGCACCGACCTCGACAACAAGTTCATCTAATGTAATTTTAAATGCGTAAAAGAAAACAAAAAAACTTTTTTACGGTTCACAAAAAAAAAAAATAAAACTTTAATTTTTTTTTCTTTTTTTTTATTTCTCATTCAATCTGGTACCTAAATAAAGTTTAAATTAATAATTCATAACAATAATCTAATAATAATAATTAATTGACTTAAAATTTAAAGAATTAATAGACAATATTTTTCTGCTTATGTAGCTTAGCTAAATCATTTTATGATCGAAATATTTTTCGTAATTAAATTCTCATCAAAATTCACTTTTGGCTGCTTTAAAAAATGTCTGCAGTGTGAAATTCCTTGACATAGCTTTAAAATGCTTATTGTGTATCGTGATGTTGTGTTTATTTCTAAGTTAAAAATCTTTCTTCATTTAAGTTTATACAGGCGAGTTTTAAATGCTCTGAAAAAATCGGATTAAATTTCCTTTTTGCTTATTTTTAATAGTTTGTAGGTTTTTTGAAATCCAAACCCTCCAAAAATCGACTATTTAGAACAGAGTTGTCAAAACTGTGTGCCGAGGCACACTGGTGTGCCGTAGTCATTTTTTGTAAATTACACGAGCCGTATTCTGTGTGCGACTTTGGTAATGGCTTACCACTAAGGTATGCCATGGCTCAAAAATGTTTGGACAACACTGATTTAGAATCATAAAGTATCTGAAATTCGACAAACCCCAAAATCGACTACTTATATCTAAAAAGTCTCTCAAAATAGTAGTTCAGCAATTTTTTCCTAGCTTTATCTCCTCCAAAGCCATCTTTTGATCAATTCTGGATAATCCTCCTCAAAAGTATCAGATTCAGAATATTTAAACTCAAATTCGCAGACAAGCACTCGAAAAATAGTATCGAATGATTTTCAAGAAAGTGTAAAACTCAAATATCTTAAAATTGATTTTTCAGTTGTTCTGTGCTTTCTTTACTTCAACATTCTAAGAACAATGTTATCTTGAATTTCAAGTATTTTTCATAACATCCGCATATTTGATTTCTTCTGTCAAATTCTGTATAGACGCATTTTTTTCAAGAATTTTAACGATGTTGTCATCTAGTCAAGATGAAGAAGTTCTACAGTTTACGTCAAATGAAAAATCTGTCTTTGATAGGAATTGACCAACAAAGACCTGCAGAATTGCATAGATTTGACTAAAACACCTCCGGTAAAGAACTAGAGATGTTTGGACCCACTCCCAATTTCAAAGAAAATTAAATCCATATCCTTCTTTTCGAGTCAAATTAAAAATTTAATTAAATTTTTCAGAGCATTTTACCTTTTAGTATAAACTTAATAATTCACTGGGACATATTTCTATAGGATATCGCATTCCTAGCTATTAATTAACACTTGATTCATATTAATCAGAGAGCTTCTTCATCCTTCATTCTGAAGAAGCTACGTTGCATTTTTAAATATTATGCTAATCTAGGTAAACTCTATAAAAACTTTCTACCAAACAGTAATTATATTTGACAGCAACTTATCGTGTAGTAATAAATTTAATTCTATCCTTACGTCTATGACTACATCAGTGTCAAAGCTTTTTATGCTTATATACAATTCTTATTCTATAATAGACTGTTATTCATATATCATATATGTATAAAGTAGCTGTGCTTCAAAGTAATTTTAACTTTTACATGTCATCCGTTGTAAATATGATGTGATATAATGTTATGTATGTGAAAGCATTTTTCTTTCATTTTGAATAATGATCATAACTAGTTTGAAAAGGATGGAAACTTCTCGCATATATTCATTATGATTTCTGACTTATTATATTCCTCTAAAGCGTTCTTAATGCATGAGATAGCAAAAGTTTTCATAAAATAACTTACAATTGGATAATAGTGAATGAGAATTTGAAGGAGTTACTGAAAGTTCTTAATGACTTTTGTCACTATTAATGATAGTTTTGATATTTTTAAAAAGAACTTTTGGGTTTTGAATTGTAAAGTGCATTACGTGAACATGTAAGATGTCTGGCGCATCTTTTTGAGTTATCTTTAATAATTGATAGGGATGCAGCCATAACAAGACATGACTTAACTATATTCAAATTGCGCCAAAAATTAGTCTTTAATAACTGAACTTCTAAATAGAATCTCTGCAGTCTTGGTTGAGACGGGAAGAATTTTGGATTTTTTCATACACTTTAGCAAATGTCCCTGGCAGAGCTCGAAGTCGAAAGTGCAAAACCGAGTCGACTTCAAGCTCTGGTCCCTAGCAACACCGCTAATCTCATATACTATGACCTAACATTTTTCAGGGACTGTAAGAACCAAATTTCCAATTTTGACTAAAAGCAGGGGTTTAAAAATTATTATTGACCTTATAATTTCAAATGAATACAATTTGATCTACTGACAGCATTAAGAAAGAAGTCCCACTGCCAAAAACACAATCCAAAAATGAGAAATTAATAATTCAAACAAATCTTTATGTTACTACCATACTTCTAAGAAATAAAAGTTAATAGCATAAGAACTCAAAAGAAAGTAAAATCCACCAAGAAAATCACTCAAATTATAAACCAAAAATGTCCATCCTTTTTAAAATCATTATCCTAACAAGGCATAGAGATGTATTTTATAGCATGACACCACTTTATAATTCATCTTTTTGCCAGCTAGGGTTTATTTTACAAAAATATATTCACTATCTCAATTTCACATAATAATCATAATTAAATTCATAATAATGGTAATGAAATCAATATCAAATACACAAAATTTTATAGATTTATAATCAGCATATCAATACAGTTTGCATTATTGTCATTAATAATAATTTTACAATTTCCGTATGCTTTAGTTATTCATGTTGATATAAAATTTATGAAAAAAAAGGTATAGCAATAAAACCAGTGAAAAATGGAAACAAGTTTATGAAAAATGATACAACATAATCATCATCCATACACCTTGTTGAGATGAGGGGGAACGTTCATAAATGATATTCGTTTAAGGCGGTGTTTTCAAATTTAATAAGTTACAAAAAATAAAAAACCCTAGAAAATTTAAATTTTCAGCTAGATTGTGTGTTCTGAAAATCTGCTAGGTAAGCAGGTAAAAAGCTTATTCTACATAGTTCTAGCCTTTTCTGGAATCACATTTTCGATCAAACTTGATCAAGTTTTAACCATTTGATTTAGTTTTCTGCGGCTAGTTTAGGTTTTAATTGATAAAATGTGAATTATCCAGAAATTTTTTTTTATAGCGTGCGTTCAGAAATTCAAATTTTTTGTTGTACCTTTTGATTTCTGAACACAGAAATAAGGACCGTCCGCAACCTCTAGACATTTTCAAACATCATTTATGAATGGATCCCCCATAATAAGTTATAATTTTCTTTTCTTCACTTCAATTATGGATTTCGGTAAATATTTGATTGCATTAATAATGAAATAATAATAAAGAGTTATTGCTACATACAGGTAAAAAATTATACTTTAAAGTGTCTGAAGAAATACAAAACAAAACTCAATTTTTCTTATAATAATTGTATTACATGAAATGAACAAAATTGCCTTTAAACTTGTGCATACATTTCTTCAGTTATAACATAACTCAAGCCATTATTATAGTTTACCTTTCTCGACTTCTGTGGTTGTCCCATCTAAAAATATACAAATGTGCAGGAAAAAAAGAGGAGAAAAAAAGATTTGTTTTAGGTCACATAATAGGGCGGGTGTGTGATAAAAATTATATAAATTAATCATATTTTTCTGTGTGTGTTTTTTTCTTCATTTTTGTGTATTTTTCAATTGTTTATAAAATTCTATTATTTCAAAAATGAATGAAATGTTTTTCTCTTTTCAATTGCATATTTGCTGAATGCATAGATTTGGATGAGAATTCAAACATCCGTATAAGATCCTCTGTCAATAGAATATCTTGAGTGCATTGCTATCGACTTAAAAAGAGTTTATTCGAATGGAAAGATAGGAATGAGCATTTTTTTCAATATTTGAATTTCTGTGGCACCTCAAATATCTAACAAATGGATTTAATGCATAAAATTATATCAATTGAAAATGCTTTTAATGGATTTCATGTTTACCATATTCGAAGTGAATTTTCTTTAAAATGTTGTGCCATTTTTATGCTTATTTGATGATTTCATTCTTATTTATTTCAATTTTCTGGTCATGATACTTCAATAGGTTATGGAAAATTGACTATTGACTCAAAGGAATGAATCAAGTTTTTAAATTTCAATTTTATCGATATTTGATCTATGAATGGTAAAAATTGAGTTTTATAAAAGAAATTTAACGGATATTCAGAATTTGAAATGTTACAGAAGTTCAAAATTCTAACTTAAGTTCAAAAGTTTGAACTTGATAAGTTTTGACTCTCTCGACTAAGGATTAAAGAACAGTAAAATGTATTAAAAGAACTGCTAAATACAAATCGTATTCCTATTAAGGAACTACAGTACATGAGAAAGTTTAAGGAAATGTTTTTCTTATTGCTGAATTTAATTTCAATTTGCTTTAACAATTCAAAAACAATTCCTTTGAATTAGTTCAAGCAGAAAACCTCTGTAACCATTGATTAATTCTGACTCCAATTACAATTTTACAAGTTCTACGAAACACTTGACAAACAAAACAGAATTGCCATAGAAACAAATCGGATCAGATATCTTTATTGATGAAATTTCATCAAAAAAAAAAAAATCCAATTAAAATTTGAGTCAATTAAAACCCTGACAATTTTTTAAAATTACAACATTATTGAGTCTATATCATTTGCCAAATAATAAAAGATTAACTCAATTTAGTTTTAATTGAAAGGAAATTGAGGTTTTATTACAAATTATTTTGTTTACTAATATACCTAAAGCTCTTTAAGGACTAAGTTCAATGGCAAATATCACAATGTCAAGTTAATAACAAATGTCGTCTTATGAAGACACAAAAATAAACAAGACATTGAGGTATTAATTAGGCCAATGGTAACCATGAAATCCATTTGGAAGTTCTCTATTATGATTATAGTAATTTGATATGGATGTCTAGAAACTGAAATGAATATAAAAAGTTGGAAAATAAAAACACTGAAGATGAACAGAAAGGAAATAGTATATCTATTATTACTTAAGGAGACAGAATGATTTAATTAAGAAGGTTAGTTCTACTCAAGGCTTGAAGTTTTTGCAAGAATCACAATGATTTTGTTGGTAAGCTCAATCCTAGGTAAACTCAAGACTTTGTAACACAAATTAGACAAAATCTAATTGAGACTTTAGAATGGTGACTAATGACAAGATTCACTAAATTTGTAACAAGGAACTAAAGGCGTAAAATACAACTTTCGCAAAAGTACAGGATTGAGATTAGTTTAAACTCTCCCAAAATGAACATCCACAAAGATTCAAAGATTCAAAACTGTAAAAATAAGTTGAATTCTAAATGTTAATTGTAAATGCTTGCAAATATCATCTTAGCCTTGTTTCTACCGTCAGTAAACTACCATAAATTTTCTCCTTTTATTCCATAAATTATACATGATAAAAAAATAAGAAAAGGAAGAAAAAAACATTTCCATGCCAATTTTAAAATGTTTTTTGTTCATCATAGAAAAGGAAATAAACTAAAAGAACTGTTTTGCGAAGCATAAGAAAGCCATTAAGAAAGCTTTTTAGTGTCATTGAGATAAAAAAAAAACACAAACTGCTGAGAAAAAAAGGAATAAAAATTTGTGTAGTAAAACAACTCAAAAAGGAGCAATTGAATAAAACATGAAGTCCCAAAAAAAGTGTGTTTTTGTGTGTCTTAAAAATGTTGATCACATCTTATGAGCCTCACCTCAAGATCCATAGATCGTTGCATATTTCCACCTTGATTTGCATAATGCATCATTTCCGTTCCCAATGTATGTCGTCGTGGATCTTCACTACGTCGTCCACTGCTCCTTCGGCGATCGTCAACTAGAAATAAAATAGACAAAAGAAAAAATAAATTCAAGTTCAGATAATTTTTTTTTCGACTTTAAATGCCTTAAAGAATGTGTTTGGAATGAAAATGAGGAAGTTATTTGTAATAACAATTTTCGTTTTCACATCCCACAAGAATACCATAAAAAAATCACTGTCGAAATATGCGCAATGAAAATAAAGAGAAAAAGAATTTTCCTCTTTCCTACTATTAGCCTTTTGTCTTCATCTTGTTCTTCTTTTCAGCATTTTTCTGCTGCCAAATGTCAATGTTCTTTTTTATTCATGAAAAAAATTCATTTTCTTTTTTGCTAATTTTCGTGCCTGCTTTAAAATAAATCTGCTCTATATTGACGTAATGTTGTCCATGTGAATTGATGCAGTCAGACAAAAATAAATAAATATGAAGGCGAGATGGATTAGTTTAATAAGTAAATTTCAAGGCGTGGAAACTCAGGATTAATCCTGAAAAATCCCTGAGCCAATAAACATGGAATGTGAAATCCCTTTTAAATCCCTGATGCATAACTTCGGGATTTAAAAGGGATTTCACACTTTCATGTTTATTGGGATTTTTCAGGATTAATCCTGAGCAGTGTTGCAAATGTAGATGTCTACACTAGATGAAGAATGTAGATTCTTCAATAGTTTTTGTCTAGCTAAGAAACTTTCTTCATAAAGATCGATTCTATATGAAGATAGAAAATCTAATCTACACAAAGATTCTGTCTACATAAAGATTCTGTCTACATAAAGATTCGATGTAGATGTCTACAATTCTACATTTTTTCCAGGTCTACATCAGAGAAGAATGTAGAATTGTAGACATCTACATCGAATCTTTATGTAGACAGAATCTTTATGCAGAAATAATCTTTGTGTAGATTAGATTTTCTATCTTCACATAGAATCGATCTTTATGAAGAAATTTCTGTCTCAGAATTTATCTGATCCAGACAAATGGCCAGAATGCAACACTGATCCTGAGTTTCCACGCCTTGTTATGAATAAATGTAAATTGGAAGCTTTAGTAGTCTTGGGTGCCCTCGATTTGTATAGTTTTGATTAGAATTAGACTTTTTCAAGGCGTTTACACTTAAGATTGACTTAAAAAAAATGTATAAGTCTTGGATTGATTGATCTGAAGCAATTTTGGACAGGAAAATCCTGCGAGACTTATTCAAAAGAGATTCCTTCAGACCAATATAGTCATCAAAGCACACAAGAACACTTGTTTGAGAACCTCTGCACCAACGTTTCGTGAACCGTAGTTTGAGAAACACTGAATTAAAGAATCGATTATCATCACAAAATAAATTAAACTCTATCAATTCACCTCAACCATAAAATAAGTCTAACCTATCAAAATCCAATCAATATTTTCCAAATATCCTCCTATATATTTTCGACACTTTGCTGCTTTATGGCAAAATTAAACCACATTTATTTATGCACGAAAACTTAATTTTCAGAAACTCATTTCAACACAAATTTCCAAGAAGGTATCCACAAAGCATTTGATGAATTTTCTAAGTATCGATTGCTTGCTATTTTATTGGTTTTCAGAGAAATGTGAACTTTTTTGAGGGATGGGAAATTCATGAAAAATATTAGTGTACGATTGAGTTGATGATTTAAAGACTTTGCAGTACAAAATATGCAAGAAGCTTGAGTGAATATGATTGCCGATGGATTTAATAGATTTAAATTTCTGTAAGAAGCGTAACATGGGGTCCAACCAGTGCTTAAGCCCTTGGCTTCAGAAAAATAAGAAGCTAGATTTTTGGTTCTCCCCCAGGACGAAGAATGGACCCGAATAGCACATGTCGGTGAATTAAATGGAAATCCGGCTTACAGTCGGCATGCCTCTGGCATGGTGCTAGCTTCAATTTAAATCCAACACCATGCCAGAATTACACCAGCACGAGCTTGAGATTTCTGATCGATTAACTTGCTTTTGCCATTTGAGAAACTTGCTTTACTCCTGATATTAAATTAGAAATGAGTTTATGATTTATTAACTACTTTAATGAACAATAATCTTAATGGAATCGACAACAGACAACTTCAAAAAATAGATTTTTCCAATTAAGAGTCCAGAATCCAATCCATAGCATTTATTTATACTAAACATCCACAACAGCCAACAATAAATCTCTGCAAAAATGTACAGCAAAGTCAATAAACTCGCGAAAAGAAAAAAAATCAATACAACTGCTCTTAAAAAGCATTAAACAACAGTCGACATTTGGTCAACATCAAAAAGCTCACTCATGGCAATATTTATGTGGATGAAACTCAATAAAGTTTATCTATCGTCTGCTCTCTTCTCATATTTCTCCATTCCACTTATCAATGATTTATTTTTTATTCATATTCCAGCTTCAATAAAATATTTCCGTGGACTGTGCAATAAAAGAAGTCAAAAAATCTATTTTTTATTTTCGATTGTGGAACGAGAATAAAGAATGGAATTTTTGGTCATACGCATTGGCGACTGATAAAACTTAAACATGGCTTTTATAAATTTTTTTGCGGGTGTCGGGTTAAAAATAGGTCATGAAATATTCAAATCATGGCATTTTAAATAAAGAAATGAGAATAAACGTATGGAATAAAAAAATAATAATTTTGGTCTAAATTTATCTCAAGTATGAATGAGAAAAGATGAAGAAGAAAAATCCAAGGGTCAGACACTCCAACAGAATTGTAAAGATTGTACATTTCTTCACAATCCATATGGAAGAATTGTAAAGATTGTACAATCCTTACAATCCTTACAATCTTTATATGAGAAGGATTGTAGGGATTGTAATTCTTACAATCCTTTCCATATAAAGATTGTAAGGATGAAATAAATGTATGGAACATTTAAAAATGTTTTTCATTGATTATTAGAGAAAAAATATTAATTTAATATTAAAAATTTATTTGCTTGAATTTAAAGAACGAAATAAGCTTGATATATCAATTCTGTCCGTTGTAAAACTACGCAGATGGTCACCCTAAACGAGGGTGATTTAAATCAAAAATCAAATTCAAAATCTTTTTGCAATGATTTTAAAAAAGAATTTTGATTTAAATCATTTTTTCAAAGGGATTTTTTTTTTTGGATTTTGATTTAAATCTCTTGCATGAAAGATTTTATTGGGATTTTAAAATCCCTCAATGCAAGATTTTTGTTTTCAATTTCTCAAATTATTTTTCAAATCAACAGTTTTCAGTTGCAGTTCCTAATAAGTAAGAATGCAGTTGATCCTTTTTTGGCCTGAATCTTGCAACTGGATCTTTTAGATCCAAATATTTCTTAATTAATGGTTACAGCAATGGTTCCATGCTGTTTGACTTAAACGAAATCCAATTTGTGTTTTTAATCTTCTGTGCCTTGCTGCTTGCATATAAATAACTGGACTTCATCAAGCATGCCTGGATCTTACTTCTTATGAGGATTTACCTGCTTTAAATCCTTTAAAAAACTTAAATATCTTTTATTACACCTAGTTCCTTTACATCCACAAAAAAATTGTTTTTTGTTGCTTTTTCATCAAGGATTCACCTCTTGAAATCAAAAAATTTTGGCGAAATGGCCGGTTCCTTTCGTACATCAAGGCACAGAAGATAAAAAATCACGAATTGGATTTCGTTTCAGTCAAACAGCATGGAACCATTGGTTGCTGTAACCTTTCTTTAAGAACTGCTTGGATCTAAAAGATCCAGTTGCAAGATTCTGGCCAAAAAATGATCAACTTCATTCTTACTTTAGGAACTGCAACTGAAAACTGTTGATTTGAAAAATAATTTGAGAAATTGAATACAAAAATTTTACATGGAGGGATTTTTAAATCCCAATAAAATCTTCCATACAATAGATTTAAATCAAAATCCCAAAAAAAAATCCCCATACAAAAATGATTTAAATCAAAATCTCTTTTAAAAATCATTGCAAAAAGATTTTGAATTTGATTTTTGATTTAAATCACTCACCCTGTTCACAAGTGTAAAAATTATACTTTTTACAACTTTTTAATGAGTTGAAATGTATAAATAATCATTCGAATTGATTCACGGTAAATTATTGCATTTTAAATATAATTGTTTTCAAAGAAATTTCTGACTTTCTTCATTTTTTGTATTTTATCTTATTTTTTAAAAATAAATGGACATTATTTTTTGTTTAGTAAGGATTGTACAATCCTTCCAATCCTCATATAGAAAGATTGTAGGAATTGTACAATCCTTACAATCCTTATATGAAAAGGATTGTAGGGATTGTAAGGGTTGTATAATCCTCACAATTCGTATGGAAGGATTGTAAGGATTGTACAATCCTTACAATTCTGTTGGAGTGTCTGACCCTTGGAAAAATCTGAATCAGCATTATTGACAGGCAACAGATTTTTATGTATGAGATAGAAGCATAGAAGATCTACTCATATGAATATACAGATAGTAAATGAGTTAGTTCCTCTGTAACGATTGTTTATCTCACATAATGTTGGCAATAAAAAACGATCTTCAATGGGGAATTTTTATAGATTTTTCACACACAGATTTGATGTGTCGGGGGAGTGCAGAGTTGGGATTTATTGAGATTTTTGATTGATTTATTGGCAATTGAATTAATTAGGATGTAAAAAGTATTTATAAATGTATAATTATTAGGACTTATAGAGTCAATAACCTCAAAAATCGTTAAATTGGTTCAAAATCTTTTGCTGGGTTACTGTTGAAGTCATAGATATCAGCTAAAAGAAAGCGTAGAAAGGGCTTTTAATGCCTGGGCAGAAAAAAAAATTTTCAAACTATAATATGTAGTTTAGTGGCTACACATAAAAGATTTGACCATTTTTAATAAAGAACCTAGTATTTTAAGATTTTCATCATTCTTGGCTGTGCAATCCAGGGTTGCGATACAGGCACCTGTGCACAGGTGAGAACCGTACAATTCCCGGATAATTTGTGAGGTTTTTATAAAATTTGTATGGTTTCATTAG